GTTTTAAACTCGAAAGTTGACACATTAAAGCGACTTAAATTATTTGAACAAAATAAAACGGCCACATGATCCAATATTATTCTGGTGATTGGCTACCCAACCCTAACAGGCTGACAGGTAGACCAATCAGGGAGCAGCTTGTTTTCGATATATCAAATTGTGTTTTGTATATATGCTTCGACACAACTGCAATGTTGTTGGGTTTAATGTACACGTACTTAAGAGATGTTTTGTTAATGAAACAAATCGTTCAATACCTCAATATATCAGCACGGTGGTGATGCTAGCATATAATTTCGTTTAACTATACAGCTCATTAAATACGCGAAAACATACAATTCATTGATTGACGAGCCGTCGTGTCGTGTTAATCAGTGATTTGAAAATAACATACATTGATATTCAAACAGCCTTCGGCACTTATCGGGATAACAAGAAGTCTGTCAAGTAATTGTCTGATGTATAGTGAATGCCGTCGATAACACCCGACATATACATCATGTATTGTCCTCTGTTTATCAGTGTATAGTTTGTTGTGTATATGACTGCCCAATATAGTATAGTATTCGATAGTCCCGAGTTTGAAGTATGGACTAAACATATAAATTGCAGAGCACGGTTTATTACGCTCTTACTTACATATGTACTCAGTATTGCTATTCAAACGGTTAACGACCTCAAGTATGATTCACATTCACTGATTATAATACACGACCGTATCTGTCGGCGCTTTACTCTCATATTCATAGGATAACAAAGACTAAGTGGATGATAGTATGTTATATTAGGGCCGAGTTGTCAATACATAACTATTACTTAAGGTAGCAGAATAGTTTTTTGGGCACTTTTCACATTTTTTTTTTGAAAATCACACGAATAGCTCCCTAAGGCATGCTACATACATTGGTGTTTTTATTTTATTGAAAAAAAAATATCTTGTACAAGTAAACTGATTTTTTACTTGTGTGCAAACAAATGGCCAAGTTTTTGTTTATCCAGTGTACACCAAACTGGTGCATCTCATTAATATGCATGGTTTACAAACATAACTGAACTGAGGGTAAATAGTTTTAAGTTGGGCCACTTTCTTTATTTGCTATTTACAAACAACTGATATCTGTTTGCAGTTTACACACAGCTGATAAGACATGTGCACTGCTGCCTTTCTAGACAGGAAGTACAGCAAAGACAAACAATCGCTTTTGAAACAACAAATTTTGA